TACTCGGAAAGCAAGCAGCTAAAATGATGTGTTCTATAATGAAATCAACACCATTGTTCTTCCAATTTTACTTCTACATGCTATGATTTAAAAATATTTGTATGGCTTTTAGTTTAAAAATATTATATTATATTGTTGTATAACACATCTGGCATATTATATACCATAATATACTTGACTGATTCGTAATATACCTGGAATACTGGGAAAAATGCACATTGAGTTTGAAATGCCAATGTTCTAACAGTTAATCTTCACATCAAGAAGCAGTGCCACATACAGGGCAGCAAGAAAAATATTAATGGCCAATAACTAGTTATTGTGGCAGTTAGCTACAAAATCAAAAAGGAAACTGTACCCATGCATGTATATGGTAACCATTACTAAAAGGTTGCATTAAATCATTAACTCACCACAACACATGACAAAAATACTTAAAGAGCGCAGCTGAAAGGATGATATGTTCTAATTTAGTAGGTCACTTGTGCAATGAGACACAGAACCTATACTAGGATACTATCCTTCTCTGGAGTGTTGTTAAGTTTCTTCATAGAGCTGCCCTTCTCTACTCATAGATTCATAGATATTTAGGCCAGAAGGGACCATTATGATCATCTAGTCTGACCTCCTGCACAATGCAGGCCACAGAATTTCACCCACCACTCCTAAAAAAGACCTCACACCTATATCTGTGCTATTGAAGTCCTCAAATTGTAGTTTGAAGACCTCAAGGAGCAGAGAATCCTCCAGCAAGTGACCCGTGCCCCATGCTACAGAGGAAGGCGAAAAACCTCCAGGGCCTTCCAATCTGCCCTGGAGGAAAATTCCTTCCCGACCCCAAATATGGCGATCAGCTAAACCCTGAGCATATGGGCAAGATTCATCAGCCAGATACTACAGAAAATTCTTTCCCGGGTAACTTGGATCTTACCCCATCTAAAAACCCATCACAGGCCATTGGGCCTATTTACCATGAATATTTAATTACCAAAACCATGTTATCCCATCATACCATCTCCTCCATAAACTTATCGAGTTTAATCTTAAAGCAAGATAGATCTTTTGCCCCACTACTTCCCTCGGAAGGCTATTCCAAAACTTCACTCCTCTGATGGTTAGAAACCTTCGTCTAATTTCTAATCTAAATTTCCTAGTGGCCAGTTTATATCCATTTGTTCTTGTGTCCACATTGGTACTGAGTTTAAATAATTCCTCTCCCTCTCTGGTATTTATCCCTCTGATATATTTATAGAGAGCAATCATATCTCCCCTCAACCTTCTTTTAGTTAGGCTAAACAAGCCAAGCTCCCTGAGTCTCCTTTCATAAGACAAGTTTTCCATTCCTCGGATCATCCCAGTAGCCCTTCTCTGTACCTGTTCCAGTTTGAATTCATCCTTCTTAAACATGGGAGACCAGAACTGCACACAGTATTCCAGGTGAGGTCTCACCAGTGCCTTATATAATGGTACTAAAACCTCCTTATCCCTACTGGAAATACCTCTCCTGATGCATCCCAAGATGACATTAGCTTTTTTCACAGCTATATCACATTGGCAGCTCATAGTCATCCTATGATCAACCAATACTCCAAGGTCCTTTTCCTCCTCCGTTACTTCTAGTTGATGCGTCCCTAGCTTATAACTAAAATTCTTGTTATTAATCCCTAAATGCATGACCTTACACTTCTCACTATTAAATTTCATCCTATTCCTATTACTCCAGTTTACAAGGTCATCCAGATCCTCCTGTAGGGTATCCCTGTCCTTCTCTAAATTAGCAATACCTCCCAGCTTTGTATCATCTGCAAACTTTATTAGCACACTCCCACTTTTTGTGCCCAGGTCAGTAATAAAAAGATTAAATAAGATTGGTCCCAAAACTGATCCTTGAGGAACTCCACTGGTAACCTCCCTCCAACTTGACAGTTCACCTTTCAGTAGGACCCGTTGTAGTCTCCCCTTTAACCAATTCCCTATCCACCTTTCAATTTTCCTATTGATGCCCATCTTATCCAATTTAACTAATAATTCCCCATGTGGCACAGTATCAAACGCCTTACTAAAATCTAAGTAAATTAGATCCACTGCGTTTCCTTTATCTAAAAAATCTGTTACTCTCTCAAAGAAGGAGATCAGGTTGGTTTGGCACGATCTACCTTTTGTAAAACCATGTTGTATTTTGTCCCATTTACCATTGACTTCAATGTCCTTAACTACCTTCTCCTTCAAAATTTTTTCCAAGACCTTGCATACTACAGATGTCAAACTAACAGGCCTATAATTACTTGGATCACTTTTTTTCCCTTTCTTAAAAATAGGAACTATGTTAGCAATTCTCCAATCATACGGTACAACCCCTGAGTTTACAGATTCATTAAAAATTCTTGCTAATGGGCTTGCAATTTCTTGTGCCAATTCTTTTAATATTCTTGGATGAAGATTATCTGGGCCCCCCGATTTAGTCCCATTAAGCTGTTTGAGTTTCGCTTCTACCTCAGATATGGTGATGTCTACCTCCATATCCTCATTCCCATTTATCATGCTACCATTATCCCTAAGATCCTCTTTAGTCTTATTAAAGACTGAGGCAAAGTATTTGTTTAGATATTGGGCCATGCCTAGATTATCCTTGACCTCCACTCCATCCTCAGTTTTTAGCGGTCCCACTTCTTCTTTCTTTGTTTTCTTCCTATTTATATGACTATAGAACCTTTTACTATTGGTTTTAATTCCCTTTGCAAGGTCCAACTCTACTTGACTTTTAGCCTGTCTCACTTTATCCCTACATATTCTGACCTCTGACCTCATATTCTATACTCCTCTCCCTACTCACTCACCAAGCATCATCATCTTCTCTGTCCATTCACACAATATTGTCACTAATTGGAACAAGAGCCTTCTCTGCAGCTCCAGCCATTTGGAACTGACTTCCTGTACCTCCCTGCTTCAATGGGCCTGATTCTGATCTCACACCAACATAATTCAACTGACATAAGCGTCGTTACTCCTGATTTACAGTGATAAAGGTCAGAATCAAGTCCATAGACTCTTAGTAAAATCCTGACTCCACTGAAACCAACAGAAGTTTTGCCATTAACTTCAATGGAGACCGGTTTCACTCTCAATTTCACTTCAAAATGCATCTACAATCTTAGTTTCTCTTTCGCCCTTTTTATTTATTATTTAGTAATTTTATTTAGTAATTTAGTAATAATTATTTATTATTTATTATTTAGTAATCATTCTCTAAAATGGTTTGGGATACACTTTTTATGGAACATGCCATAAAAAATAAAGTTGTATTGAATAATACTGATACGAACGAGGCAAAGGTAGTGGCATAACTATACAAAGGCTGGAGGGCAATACACATGCTCCAGAGTATCTTACTGTAATTATGAACATATGAAAAATATTGTATTGTTATGCCAATTACAACAGCTTTATATCTTAAAAACATGATTAATCATATAATGTAGAAACTTCATCTCTTTCTGGTAAAGATTTGTTCCCTTTAAGTGTAGTGCTGATCCAGTTCAGCTTTAGATGTGTCAAGCAATGCAACTTCCACCATTTTCCTGGGGAAATTATCCCACAAGCTAATATATCTAAAGGCTTGTCTACATGACAGATTATGTTGGTATAATTTATGTCACCCAGGGTATGAATAAGCCACCCCCGTGAGCGACATAATTTACACCGACCTAAGCCCCAATGTGGACAATGCTGTGGTGGCAGAAAAGCTGTGTCCCGCCAGCACAAAGCATCTTCACCAGATGCACTACAGCAGCGCAGCTGTGCCGCTATAGTGCTTCTAGCGTAGACTAGCCCTCACTTTCAAGAAGTTTTTTCCACTATTGAACCTAAAAATTCCCTATCTTAATTTCATCCCATTACTGCTATTTACAGCCTTGTTTGGACCACCCTAAATAATTCCTCCTCTCTTTATGATTTATACTCTTCAAATACATATAGACATTTTGCCTCCTCTCCCCCACATCTATTTCAATTATTTTTAGCTTAACTACACCTTTCATGGTTGCTTGGTAATGATACAATACTGACTATTGAGAAGGCCCATTCATACCACACCCCTCTTTCGTAAGAAGTTTCCTTTTGGGCTGAAACTTCAGGTGACAGACCTCACCCCGAAGATGAATTTTTTTTGTAAGTTCTAGTGAGCTTTATTTGGACCTTATTTGAGTTTTTGGAGCAATAACTTACTCTTTGCTCAGCTAAGTTTTGGAAGGGAAATGTTTTTAAAATAAAGTTAGACATTAAGTGAAATAGAGAAAATGCTAAATTGCATACAAGTTTTTTAGCATATGCTTCAAAATAGATCAGCAAGCGTCACACAATTTGTTTTTCTTTTCGTCCTCTTATTTTTATTTTTTAAACTGTCTTAATGCATCCACGCCTCAGAAAACTTCCTTTGCTGCTTAGGGGCCTGCTCCAAAGCCTATTAAACAAATGCGAAGGCACCCATTGACTTAAACGGACTTTGGATCAGGCACTAGAACACCAGATGTCCCAAAGAGTGCCTCAAAAATCAATACATAAGTCAAAGAGCTCCTTCATGTATCAATATCCCTAATAACTGTTTTTAGTAAGGGGTGCAAATGCATTGAGGTGGCATACAAGGAATGCACAATACCACCAGGTTCACCAGGGAATACCACAATGCACCAGACCGTCAATCAGTCGATAAATTAATGCTTTACAAAAATGAACTTTTTCCGGTGTGACAATGACCCCGGAGCAATGGAAGAGACATTTGATACATCTTTTGTAAGAGTGCACTAAATAAAAGTCGTTCTGACTCATACTGTTATTTCATGGTATTATCATGTCTACTGACCAGTCAGAATTTAGGATTTTTAATGCTATTTTAATATAATATTTTCCATGTAGGTTGAAGTGTGTTGTAGTGTTAAAAAAAAAATCCTATCCGGGTTGCAAAAAGCGGGACAATGTAACACCCCATTGTCAATACTACTTACTGATGAAGAGCCCAGCATGGATTTTGGAGATCTTATCATTCCAGCTATGGAGTGACGAATAGTATCAAACCTGGACACCTTATCCTTCTTATCCTAGGTTGGGGGGGAGAAAAAGAATATCAGCAACAAAAATAAACTATACAACACCGATTTCTGAGTATATATAATCTGACGTACTTTTTCTGTTTTGGTTAAATATAAACAGATATAAACTAGCATAGCTGCACAAACTTCAGAGTTATGCCATTTTATGTCAGCTGAGGATCTAGCCCACATTTTATAATATCAAATACTAAAGTTTTGAGTAATTATTTAAAAATAAAATTACTGTCAACCATGTAACAGATCTGAAATTCTGTAATAGTACAGTCAGGTCTCCCCTAGTTCTTTAGCTGCCCTAGAGTACGTAATTTTTAATAGGACAATTTTTTAAAAAAAAGAGTAGAACACCAAACTCTGCAAGTAGCTTTTTTGTATGTATCTCACTCAATTTTTACCTCCGCTGTCCTTCCTTTATTAACCTTTCCTGCTCTGTATACACTGAGTGCAGCCTGAGGTGCACACAGAACAAAGATGTAGAATATACAAAATTCTACAAAATCCCAAAAATGGGAACAAAAAGTGAGACAAATGCGGGAGGGGGATGTGGGAAATGGGTGGAGTGTGTCCATCCAGTACACTGAATGAAGTATGAGTCCTGTAGAAAAGTGGCTCTCAACCTTTCCAGACTACTGTACCCCTTGCAGGAGTCTTATTTGTCTTGCGTACCTCAAGTTTCACCTCACTTAAAAATTACTTGCTTACAAAATCAGACATAAAAATACACAAGTGTCACAGCACACTATTGCTGAAAAATTGCTGACTTTCTCATTTTTACCATATAATTATAAAATAAATTAACTGGAATATGAATATTGTACTTATATTTCATAATATATAGAGCAGTATAAACAAGTCATTGTCTGTATGAAATTTTAGTTTTTTTATGTAGCCCGTTGTAAAACAAAGCAAATATCGAAATGAGTTGTTGCACCCCCTGGAAGACCTCTGTGTACCCCCTGCTGTAGAACAAGTAATATACCGTAATGTAAGTAAAGACCTTATGATAATGCATATGCAGAAGGGGACCCAATTAAGGTAACATGGACTGTTTTAAGCTGGCATTTCCTAACTTCTGAGTGCTTGACTTTTCAACTTTAATGTTTTTTAAGGTAGAAAACATCATACAGAAAAACCCAATTCTTTTAAAAGAAAACTGGAAAAAAAGAAATTCCATCATATAGAACCATACTAATCAGCACATCAGCAGAGTCTGAATCTAGGAACTTTAAATCTCAACACAGAGCTCCATCACTTGAGCTAAAGGAGTAAATGATAGCAGAAGCATGGATGGAGATTTGGGGAGGGGGGCATAGAAGAGCATTGTACCCCCCAAAACTGTTTATCAGATATTTTCAAACTGTGGGGTGTGCCCACCTAGGGGGGTGCAGAAGAACAGGTGCCAGGTGGCTTGGGCCAGCCCGACACAGCGGGGCTCAGGGAGAGAACGCCATCTCCACCCCAACTCACTCATTAACTACACTGTAATTTAAGTATCACTAACAATCAGTAAACCCAGAAGTTAGGCCTATACTTAATAATAATAATAGTAAGTTCCATGACCTCCCCAAATATAGAAGTGAAACTACACCTATGAGCAGAAGTAGGCTATTATTGTCTCTATCAACCAATCACTAGAGAGGGATGTGATGCACACTTTGCTGGCAGCATACACAACTATTTGCTCGACAACAGTGAAACATCAAGATCATGGGTGGAGAGTAAAAAAATCGTTTGGAGGGGCTGGGTCCGGCTCTATCCCGGCCCAGCGTTGAGGGGAGATCCGAGGGAGGGAGGGTTTGGAGAGCAAGACAGTCCCACATGAACCCCGGACAGCAATGGCTCCTGTCTCACAGAGGTTGCAGACTGAGCCTGCCTGTCCCCACATAGACCCCGAGCAGTGGCAGATCCTGTCCAGGATTTGAAAAATAAGTCTGCCCAGCTCTGCACTCATTTCAAGCAGCAGTGGCTCTGCTCCTGTCCTCTGGGTCTGGGCCAGTGAGGTTGGAGGGTGAACCTGCCCAGCCCCACACTCACTCTGGCTCCGTCCTGCCGCACAGTGCTGGGTCGAGGGTTGGAGAGTGAGCCCAGGCAGTGGTGGCTCCATTCTGTCCCTTGGTGCTTCTCTGGGCCCAGCATCCCACTCTGGCCACTAGGAAGAGGCTCAAAGAGCTCACCACAGCATGTGGCACATGCCAAGGCTTTGGCTTTGCATGCAAAGGCAAGTGTGCGCACCAAGGAATGGGGGCAGTTCAGCAACTGCTGAGCTAGCAGGTAGATAAATTTGATGGGGGGTAGAGGTCTGAGCCCCCTGTAGAACTTAGCCCTAACCACTCGGCAACTATAATTAGGAGTCAGGACCCTTGCGTTCTGTTACTGATTCTGGTGTTGATAGGGGTCTAGTAGTTACAGAAAGAGCAACCAAGTACACAGATTTTGCACATTTATTATGAAGGGCTGCGCAGTTGTGGATGCCACTTATGTCTGACATGTTAGAGGCCTGGGTTCGGATTCTTGTGCAGACTTTCAGTTACCCTGTCTGTTAAATGGATGGAGTGATACTGATTGCCTCCGAAGTTTAGGCCTTGCTCAATAAGCAATAATTTAAAGTGCACAAAAATCTGAATTCTCGTCAGTGCAAGAGCTGGGACTAGAATTCACGGTCCATCCTTGGCTCCTTCCATAAGCCAGAATGGCAACTGCACTTGTTCTGTCTGGAGCTCAATCTCTGTTGGGCCAAGGAGAATACTCAGTGCAGATGGACTATTCACCAAGCCAATAAAAAGCTTTAACAGATTACATGCTAATAGAAAAGTTTAGATATTTAAAACCCGGCTAAATTTGAGTGGACTTTCAAGAGGCCCACAAAAGCACTTCTCTATTCCCAGAACTACTGTCAAATTTCAAATTCTTGCACCATAGAGCAGAGGCACTACAGTGCTTCAAAGATTTTTCCTTATCTACACTCTGGGAAATAACTAAGCTGGTCTGATTAATCTTTTCTTTCTTATTATATTGAATTTTTTGGTTCTTCCCCAAAAACAGGGAGAACCAAAAGGACAAAAGAACAAAAAAGTAAAGGCAAGGGAAAGAATGGAAAAAAGAAAGAGAAAGGAAATAGAGCCACACCTCAGTTTCTGTCAGTCAGGAATTAATCAAAGGTTTCCACAAACTTAGATCAAATCTTTTCAAATTTGTCTGAAGTTCCTCTTCCCTTAAACATTACCCCTCTCTTTAGCTGCTAGGTCAGCCAAGTCACTGAACCAAGTTTCTATCCCGGAGGCAGTTTGCTCTTCCATCTAAGCAATATGAATCATTTGGCTATTGCTGATTTTTTTTTAAATAATTTAATTTAAGACAGAAAGCAAGCATGGAAAATTTCAGCCCAAACCGTTAAAATCTGGCAAAGTTACAACGAACTAATATAAGAGGCTTATAAACAAAAGTGTGAGGCAACCCTAATTTCAGCACTGCTTAGCATCCCCACACGATGTCAGTAATACCCCCAAATTTGTCATGGTCCATCTTTTCTCCCTGGCCTCTTAAACAGGGATGATAGGTTGGGCTGGTAGAAGAATACGTGGGACTCGGGTGAGGATTCTTTGGAGGAATTTTAATTAAATTGTATTATATCAATGTATTGGATCTTGAAGTAACAGGTCTATTAGGGTTTTTTGAAATTGTCTCAGAGATTTGGAACTGTAGAAGTTAAAAATTGACATAACTGAATAAATACATAAACAGTTATGCAACTTTAGCTTTTGCTGAAAGAGTTTTCTAAATGGTCAACAAAATGTAAAACCGGTAAGTAAGGTTAAGATTCTGTCTTGGGTATTTTTAGTAAAAGTCAGGAACAGGTTGCAGTCAATAGACAAAAATTCACGGACGCCCATGACCTATCTATGACTTTTACTGAAAATACCCTGGGGAGGAGGAGGAAAATACCCTGGGGAGGAAAATAGTTTTGCTGGGGTTTGAAGCAGCTCCAGCACCACCACTGCTTGTGCAGAGAAGGCTGACCACAGCTGCTCCAGGCACAGGGGGATGACCCAACCCCAGCTGGTGCTCTGGCGGGTTAGGAACTGCTGCCAGTCATCTGTTCCAGCTGCCCCAGGACTCACCACCAAGAAAGCTGTTCCAGTCGCTGCCCCTCGGTGGCCTCAGGGCTGACTGCCTGTCAGTTGTTCCCGTGGCCACCCGCCTGGCCACTGTTCAGTCAGCCCTGGGACTGGCCGACAGTCAGCTATTCCGGTGGCAGCTGCTCCAGTAGCCCTGGGGTTGAGCTGCTCCAGCCCTGTCGCAGACACAGTCATGGAGGTCCTGGAAAGTCACCAAATCCATGACCTCCATGACAGAATTGTATCCTTACCAATATGTAAATATTATCTACAGTGTATACCCACCATGGAAACTAAGGTACTACTGCAATTCAGCAAGTAAGCAATGCCTATTCTATTTGCTAGTTAAAATAAACAGTTATTCTTTTAACAACATTCTGCAACGTGTCCACAGTTTGCATTATAGCTGCATAAAAGCAGAATATCACCAAAAAGAAAAGGTGAAAGTTAAATAATCATGAGAATAATCATGAGGCAGATGGGGAACTTATAAAACAATGTAACTAACAGTTGTTCACCATGTTCCCAGTTACTCACAAATAAAACATTTCATTCCTTTTACCAGTCTCAAGTATACACAATACTGCACGTCATTTTAAGTTACAATCTGATAATACAACAGGCTGCCTTGAGTCCCTGGCAGGTCAATTCTATATCAATGGATTAAATGGCTACTTTAAAAAAATGCTCACTGCATTACCCTGGACACACTTAATTTTGTACTTAATTTTGCTTCCATGCTTGCCAGGGCTCGGAATGATCAGCTCATTTCAAGCACCTTAGGTAATGACACGATAAAGGGTCTTCTTCTGATAAACGAGTCATGGGGATTAGCAGTAGCTAAATGACTGCTTCTCATATCACAGAGGGGAAAAA